AGTGACGTCGGCGCCCGATGGCCACTTGTGGAGAGCCAATAGGGAGCAATGACTACTGGCCCTTGTATATGCTGCCACCGCTGAAGGCGGCCACTCTGTTGCCGGAGATGCTACAGACGACCCGAGATTCTGCTGCTAGTGACAAGACGTGCTGTTGGTCGAGACGAGCTACTGACGATAGAAGACAACGCTGATGTACGGGCATAAGTAATAACAGTAAAGTACTATCTGTAATCCTGTTCTGCCTTCTCTTCCTAGCACGTACCTGGGGGACATAACTTGTATAGACACAGAAACACACTCGGTTATAACAGAAGGTTACCTCTTATAATTTATTCAAGGTCACCCGTGGTAGGGGGTCCATATGTCTGGGTCCGTTTGGGACCTGGTATCTATGCATAGAATAGGCTGATTTGTAGAAAAGGCAGTTTCTTTCACCCTTTTTTGCTCCCTTTTCTGACCATATATTAACGCCGTACAGACCACCATGTTTCATACCCATGACTTCTGTGTGACCGTCCGTATGCAGATATTTTCATACATTTGTACACTTCGGTTCAGTTTTGTTGAGGGAAAGCTAGGCAGGCATATTTTAACTCTCTATTGGTAACACAGTGGCTAAGAAGTGCATCAACACAGCAGAAAAATTCACAAAGAGGTCTTTTACCTAATTGCAGACGAAAAGAGAGTAGTCGTCGGTTAATCAAAAAGGGTAAACGTGCACACACATACTCGCTGATTGCAAATAGTTTAATCACATGCGAAATTTTTACTTCGGGAATGATACCTATCGGGAATCGTTCAAAAGTAACACAGTTGCTAAGAACTGGATCGATACAGCAGACAACTTCAAAAGAGGTCGTTTACATAAACGCAGACGAAAAGCTAGCAGCAGCCGTTTAGTCGAAAAGAGTAAACATGCATGCCTTCCCACTTATTACAAGTAGTATAACCACATGTGCGATTAGTACTTAGGAACTGGTACCTACCGGGAAGCGCTCAAAAGGGAACAACGTTTTGCGAAAGCATACCTGATCCTTTGAGCCCGCTCCACCAACTGGTTGGCTTGATTTCGATCTTCTGCCGTCTCCGCAAATATGCGCTGGACGTCATAATGCAAGCGAGCCGACAGGTCCTGCAATTGCTTGCCCAGTCGAATAGCCTCGGCCAGATCAGCCGTGTGACTCAGACCGCGAATCTGGTTGCTCAGCTAAAAAAGTAAAGGCAGCAAGTTGCATCAAATTACGTGCAGAAATTTACTCAAGTGCCTGCCAGAAAAATAAGCATAATATAATATATGCTATGTGTATATAATGATTTCAAGGAAAGGCGTCCTTTGGGAAGTCGCCCTCCAGTGCCTTACTGTCAAAGAGTAAAGACTTTCAGTGACTCGACCTCAGTTCGATTGATTTAGAAACCTGCAAGTCTTTCAGGTTGTCCAGTTCCTTGTGTCCAGTCTGTCGAATAATTTCTAATGGATCTTCTACCCTTTAAATCATCTGGCCAGCCTGCCACTGAATAGTTTATAACTTCGCGCGAATCGTGTTCTGAGAAAACGGATCCTGCGTATGCCGATGTAACTGCTTGTAAAGAAACCGATAGCATCAGTTGCTCCTTCTGAGGAGAACGTTTTAATAATAAGACAGGCTAAATAATGCTCTAGTGTCAATTTTATATATGGTGGACGCAAGTAGTTGCGCTTTCTGTGCCCTCTTCATTCGCCTATTTTAGATCTCCAAATTTTTGTGGTTTGATGGCTTCAAATTGACTTATGCCGTTAAAAATGTTTAGTATGACGACTACGGCATGAAACATTCCGCAATCCGAAAAAGACCGGTAATCATTTGCAAACCAATATTGAGTAGGATTGCAATA